CGCAGGAGAGATGCTCTGCTGCCGCTTCCCCAGCTGGCGTAGCACGGGGGGCGCGATGCAGGCACGGCTCACTCCGGACAGCAGCACAGCACAGCCCCTGCTCCCAGTGCTGCCTCACCCGCATCATCACTGGGACCAGGGGCTCTGCCCTGCTGCCACTTGCTCCCTTCCACCTGGAGTGAGCCATGCCGGCATCCCAACCCCCCACCGCCCCAGCTAGACAAGCAGCAGCAGGGCAGAGCCCCCACTCCCAGCACTGCTGTGCCTGCATCCCACCCACTCCCACACGAACGTGCCCCCCCCACTCCGGCTGGACAGCTTGTTCCTCCCCCAGCCCCAATCCCTCCCCCATGTCTCTTCCCTCCCCATTCCCCCAACAGACTTAGCAGCTGGAGGCAGCTCTCAGCTGCCTGCTTAGTCTATGGCCAAATCTCTGAATCAGTCAAATCTTTTCCAAAGCTTTTTTGAATCAATTTTGGATGCTTCGTATCAATTTGGAGCTTTTATTTGGTCTCCCAATTCAATTCTTGGGGTTGGGGCTTGAGTCTGGAGTGGGTGCATGTATGCCCCCTGTACTCACCAGCAGCAGCAGAGGCAGAGGCAACGACTGCAGATCCTCAAAAGGTAAGCGGGGCAGGGAAGCCAGCACAGCTGTAAAGGATCCGGAAGGGAAGCCCCCCCGACCCCTCTTAACTGAGCCGGCAGGGAGCTGCGCTCCCAAGCCATGCACTCTGTAAGGACGTGCTGGCGTCTGTGCCGGTGCTCGTGCAAAGCGGGCATGTAGCAGTAGCCGGGAAGGAGTCTCCAGCAAGACAGGAAGACTCGCAGGTCCATGGACACAGTAAGAACAGAGGGAGCGGCTGCTAGGGAGCACGCCCTGGTGGTAAGGATGCGGAGGGCAGCCACTGGGGACCCGGCCCCAGTGATGCCACCTACCTTGGGCTCTTCTGAGGCCTCCACCCAGACGGAGCCCATGGTGGGGTCGGCGCCCCCCGTCTGTGGGGGCTGCCTGGTGGGGACACGGAGGCCACGGGTGGGGGAGGGGTCTGGAGGCTACCTTGCCTGTCCCTTTTGTGTCTGACTTCAGGTCCTGGAGGAGCAGGTGAAGGAGCTCTAGGTTGAGGTGAGCATACTACAGGGGATCAGGGCTGCAGCGGATAAAATTGACACCTGTTTCCATTCTCTGCAGGATCAGTCTTCCAGCAGACAGACCTCCCACGAAAGACACACAGCAGATGAATGGCAGAAGGTGACCACCAGAACCAGGGCTGCTCAAGCTAGCGTGGTGGCAGCTCCCCAGGTACAACTGGGGAACAGATTCGAGGCCTTGGCAGCCTTGAAGAAGGTCGAAGTGGATGCCTCCAGGGGCAATGCTGCCACTCTAGGCACGGCATAGTCTGAACAACAACAGAACACCACAAGGAAGAAACACCGAGTCCTTATCCTCAAAGACTCCATCCTGAGGGGAACGGAGGGTCCCATCTGCCAACCCAACCCCATGGCATGGTCTGCTGCCTGCCTGGGGCTCGAATTCAGGATGTTACAAGCATGATCCTGGACCTCATTCAACCCTCATTCACCAGTACCCCATGGTCCTAATCCACATGGGAACAAATGATGCAACGGGGGGCAGTCCAGACCACATCACGAAGGACTACGAGGCCCTTGGGGCCAAGCTCAAGGAGACGGGGGGCGCAGGTGGTATTCTCCCAGTAAGCAGATGCGAATGGCGCCATAAGGCCTGCATCGGAGTGGTCAACCAGCGGTTTCAGAGTTGGTGCTACCAGACAGGCCTCGGGTTCCTTAAGACCAACCCACATTTTCATGCAGGGGGCATGCTCAGGTGGGATGGGCTTCACCTCTCCCCTAAAGGCAAGCATGTCTACTCTTCCAGGTTGGCTGATCTTGTACAGCATGCTTTAAACTAACTTCGCCAGGGGATGGGGCCACAGGGTGACATGAGGACACTTCCCAGCCAAGACAGGTGACAAGCACAATAAGTACCCAGGTAAGTAACAGGGGTTCGGATAGTCTTGGGATCAGGGGGGAGATGCATGCACCCATAGGAGGCCTTAAATGCCTTTACGCTAATGTTCATAGAATGGGGAACAGCAGGAGAAACTTGCCCTCCTGCTAGCTAAACACAAACCTGGACATAGTGGGGCTCACTGAAACCTGGTGGGATTCAACACACGATTGAGCAGTAAACATCAAGGGCTACAGACTGTTCAGGCAGGATAGAATGGGGAAGAAAGTTCAGCTTGCAGAGGCAGTTAGGTCAAGGGATGTGGTCATTATGGGTGACCTAAACTACCTGGATATCTGCTGGGAGGAGTCCTCACATAGGTTCCTGGCAAAGATACAGGACCTCCACCTAACCCAGGAGGTGCACAGCCCCCCAGAGGAAATGCCTTGCTAGACCTGGTCCTGGCCACAGGTGACGACCTGGTGAAGGGACTGCGGGCTCTTGACCACCTGGGTGATAGCAATCATCACCTACTGGAATTCACCATCCAGTGCAGGCTGTCAAAGGCCTGCAGCACGGCAGCAGCCCTTGACTTCAAGAGGGCCGATTTCAATGAGTTAAGGAGGTTAGTCAGGAGGCACTGAGGTCCCAGAGGGTAGGAGAGTTGGGAGTCCAAGACAAGTGGTCATTCCTTAAGGAAATGATCCTCCAAGCCCAAAGAGTGACAGTCCCAACGCGAGTCAAAGGGGGCACGAGTGCTCAAAGGCCCCCATGGCTCACCAAAGGCATTCCGGAACGTCTAAAAGCTAAAAAGGAGGCATACACCCAGTGGAAGGGAGGGGCCATCACCAAGGATTATTATACCTCCATTACTCGAGACTGTAGGGGGGCTGTTAGGAAGGCTAAGGCAGAACTAGGACTAGCAACCAGGATCAAAGATAACAAGTCCTTTTTAAAATACACAGGGAGTAAAAAGAATCATAGAATCAATGAGTCGGGAGGGACCTAGACAG